TGAGCTCAAAAGAGTAACCTGTGTGTGATTTCTTTGGCTATGGTGATCTCAGCAATGTCTGTCAGGTCTCAGTGGTCTAGATTACAGTGATTCACGACTGCAGTTCATAGAGGTTTCTAAAGGCGTGTGTTCTCAGGCATCACAGCATATAACACTTACGGCACTGGGGCCAGTGATGGCAGCTGCCACAATCTTGATGATACAAGATGTCGATTGGACTGTCCTAGATCCTAGAATAAATACAAGTGACACCAAGGATGTAAGAAAAAATAGTCCCTGAGCCACAAAATGTGAAGGAGACCCTCCCTGGGCCCTTAGGGTGAATGTAGGAGATGCCTGGGCCTAAGGAAACAACTCTCACAGTTTTTCAGTTACTGGATGGGATGTTTCCCATTTCCCTGTTTCCCATTGGATGAGCACAGTGATAGTGGGGTACATGGCACTGGTGACCACAGCTTCCTGGTGTCCTTGTGAGTTGTTCTTGGGCTTGTAGTAAGTACTGCAGCCGTTCTTCTGCAGCTCTGGAACCCGGATGGTCTTCTGTAGGTCCCAAGAGACAAGTGCAGATGATGCCAGGGCTTTGGCATCAGTGTCTATGGCACTGGTGCTCATGGTGCTGTTACCCACGTTCCTGATGGTGTATGATGTGGAGGAGACCATCCCTGGGGCCTATGGGCACCATTAGAGCACTGGCATCTGTGGTTCTGTAGCTATAGGGTATGGATGAAGAGACAAGTGTGGTCGATGCAGGGACTGTCTACACTTGTAACTGCAGTCCCAAGGAGGAGACCTCCCGGAGTTCTGTGGGACTTTGTCCTGTGGCTCTGGCAGGCTACTAGTCCTGAAGCTGTATGGTTCTTTAGGGGCTGCCAGATACCCTGTGAAAAAACACATGTTTCAAGGTTTTTAAGGTAAAATGGCATCTAGCAATAACTTTTAATTGCTTGACATCTGGACATTGGGAGGATCTGTGTTCCTTCTTTGGGGTAGCAGCCAGACAGCCCACAAGCTGGTCTTAATCCTTTCTTAGGACCAAGGAATTCTGAAGTTGCCCCACTTTTATGATGGGGTTGCTGATGCTTTACCATTTGCCTTCTCCTTGCTGAGCTGAGTGCCCCTGCCTCCCAGCCAGGGACCTAGGTTAAAGCTGCTGTTTGCTCCAGTCTCTAGGGCGCCCTTCTGACTCTCATGTGATGTGGGAGTCCAGTAATCTTCCTTGCTGATTGCCAACATTCTCCTGCATCCACTCACCCCAAGATACCATGTTCTCTTTGTTGCCCTAGTACTGACCCGTGGCAAGGTTGAGTACAAAGTGCGTGTATTCAACCATGCTGAATCTCCCTCAAGTGGAGGGAGCTACCTTCCAGTTAGCAGCTCCCTTCCAACAAGATTCAACTTCCCTCGTGATTGTACATATGTGCAGGCTATTAAAATTCTATTACATCACTTTCTATTTCAAGTCATAAATCAATAATGGGAGGAGATGGGTTAAATATTTGTCTCTATCTTTAACTTTTAGAAGACCATAAAAATAATCCCAGACAGCCCAGTCTCAACATGTCACGTGTGTACAGCTCTTGTTCAATTCCCCATTGTTTAGTTACACACACACACACACACACACACACACACACACACATATTCTCCATGCTTTGGCTTACCTGCCTTCCCCTCTTGTGTGTAAGAATTCATTACTGCTCAACTTAAAAACTCCACCTACAGCCCGTATTCACTCACGTTAATCAATTAGTCTTGTGCAAGCTTTGACATCTCCCAAAAATTCCATGTTTAGAATAAAACATATTAACCATATTAATGTGGCTATGGTCAAATACAGTCTAAGTGAATAGAGGTGTTTGGTTTGTTTGATTTTTCAAGTGCCAAAAATCTAAGAGTTTATGTCAAATTCGCTACTCTCAGAGACTATCTTGGTTGTGTGGGAGTGGTTAGGAGCCTATTATTGAACAAATAATTAAAAGATTTTGTCTGCACTTCTGAGAGGAAGCAGAGGCCTGTTAAGAGTTTAAGAAAATGGGTGGGGTTTTTTATTAAAAGCCATGGGATCTGCATAAACATCTACATGGCTTTTGTGTTTCTACTTTATAGGAAATCAATGTGTTGACAGTTGCATTGGTTAACCAAGACCGGGAGAACAATACTGAAAAAAGAAGCCCAGGCTTAAAATCGGAGAAGGAGGCCCTGCTGATAGGTAAGCAGTCTCTTTTCATTGTCGATGTACAGAAGTCATTCCCAGAGAACCAATGTGGACAGTAGTTCAGTAGTTCGCTTCCACCGTGTTGATAATCTAAACAGCAGAGTGCCCCCCCCCCCGGCCCCCCCCCCCCGCCCCCTCCCCCCCTCTGCGAATCAGAGGTCAGACTGATTTCATCAAGATTTCACAATGTGCATTTCAAATGAGTGTCACACAGACTGGCAGAGGTTCCTCTCGTCGAGAACTGGGAACATTAAGTAGCTGTCAGAGAGAAAACAGGGCTCAAGAAAATAGGTTCATCTGCATCTCGTGTGTCAGAAGTCTGCATTTTAAAATTTAAAAAGAAGTCCAGTTGGTTCTTGTCCAGAAGTTCATAAGCCAAGCCAGGCTTTTAAGCAGTTTTGACTCTGGAGATGAGCCTCTCAGCCCCTTAGCAGAGACTCCATCCCAAAGACAGCCCCAAGGCCAGACCCGTAATGCAGATTATTAATTGCTGTATCCAGAGTAACGACATTAGGATAATCAGTCTAAACCAGACTCCCATGTCCATGTGGATTAATTTAGCCAAAATGAACAAGAAAAGCTGGCTCCTAACAGAGAGAGAGAGAGAGAGAGAGAGAGAGAGAGAGAGAGAGAGAGAGAGAGAGAGAGTTAGTTATTATTTAACTACAATATCCACTTGCCCCAAAAGATACCACCAGTTTTTATGTCTGCACTGAGACAGAACTCTTATTTCTTAAATCTTTATCCAATTGATCCAGGCAAAGTGCTTACTCTTCCAGAAAATGTTCTTGGGGGTGGTGTGTTGATAATGTGCTTGGGACCCCACCTTACAATCCCCTCCCAACCCAAGAAGAGAGGACCGTCCTTCACCTGTGACACACAACCTTGGTCCAGGCTGCACTTTGGCAGAGACCACAGTTTGGGGTTCCAGGTTCAGCCTGGCTCCTCTGCAGAGTGCTTGGCTAATGGTGAGGATCGAGGCCACAGTGCACACGAGGCGAACGCTTCTCCCCCAGGTCATTATCTGGCAGAAGCAACAGCCTCTAAATATTGCATCAGCTCACACCTTAAAATGACAGGTTCACTGGGGCCTGCAGAAGCCCGGCACAGGAGAAATTAAATTCAAAAGATAGTCCAAACTTCATCCATCACATATAGATTTTTCAACTACGAGGTTATTGAATATGACATCAACTTAGAGATACTCCAAGGAAAAGCAATTATTTTTTTTCCTCTGATGATATACAGCTGTAATAATATGCGGGGCACATGTTTCAGAAGACATGCTGATGTCTGTCGGTTCCAGAAACCCAAAATGAGCCCATGTGTAGTTACTAACTGGCTTCTTCTCCCCTCAGAAATTATTTCCAATTGTGACAACTGTTTGTTTTATTCTGTATAACTGAGATATGATTATTGCCCCCACAATGCTCTGGGTCTATAACAAAACTCATAATGATCTATAGAAAATTTTCTAAAAGTGTGAATAATGCTGACCACTTACAAGGTTTTAAATTTTTGAACAGGCCACCACTTGAATTTCCTTTTCACTGGAGATTGCCTCATATTTTGTTTTATGTTCTCCTTGGAGAATATGTTTCATTTATGATGACTTCTAAATAGTTCTGTATTTACATCAATATATATATATAGCATAAAATATATGTATAGACTATAAATGTTTATATCTACAAATTTTAGTCAATTTCCACAAAAATTTAAATATATGCTTGATTATTATACATTCTAAATTATTCATAATTATGTGTATATATGTGTATATACATGTGTGCGAGTACACATGGAAGCCAGAGGAGTTAGATGCCTCGGAAGCTGGAGTTGGAGGCAGCTGTGAGCTCCCTGATATGGATGCTTGGGATCAAATTTAGGTCCTCTGTAATACACAATCCTAACTGCTGAGCCATCTCTCCAGCCCCTAATTATTATACATTAATGGGAGTAGACAGGGAGGTTTTGTTTATAACTTTCTGTCTCTGCTAATGTCTTTAGTATCAGAAAAAAGAAATTAGCTCTTTGAGTGTAATAGAAAGAAAAATATGCCAGTATCTTCAATAAAAGCATGCTCAGCAGACTGCTTGTTCTCCTCAAGGTTCATCTTTGGAGCCAGCCTACCGGTAAACAGTGGATTGCAGTAAACGAGAACAAGGAATCCACTCGTCTCAAATCACTATACGAGAACCTTTCTGTTCTAAAGGATGCTGGAGACTGGAGTGTTTGATCAAAACAAACCAAGGACTGATTTCTCCTTTTAATTCTCTATTGGTAGTTTGCCTTCCTCTAGTGATAGCATGACAAAAGATATGACTTCTCCCCCAAACCCACTCTCTAGATAGCCATATTTCTATTCTTAGAAAATTTAGAATTAAAAGAGAGCAATCCTTCTGACTCCCTAAAAGGAGCTATGATGGGAGAAGTATCTCCCAGCTGGGCAGTGGATCCTGTGGAAGGAAGGCTGCCATTGCCTCTGTTATTAAGTCCATACCTCTCCATCTTAGTCACCATTCACGTCACTGTGGTGAAGTATCCACATATGAGTGACTTAGGGGAGAAAGGAATTATTTTGGCTCACCGTGTTGAGGTTACAGTCCATCACAGTGGAGACACAGCCGCAGGAGCATGAAGCATGTTCACATGGTACCCACACACAAGCAGCAGAGAGAGATGAATGCTTATGCTCAGCTCACTTCTCCTTTTTTACTCTTCAGTAGTATTTTTATTAATTCTTAGAGAATTTCATACAATGTCTCTTGAGAATATCCACCACCCGTTCTTCCCAGCTTTTTCCAGATCCTCCTCCGTGTTGCTTGTTTGAAGAATCTATCTTGCAGCAGCCATCTTGGTCCTCCGGCTCTTGCAGTCTTTCCACCCCAGAGCCTTAGGTGTACAGGGTGCCTTGTTAATGCGTTAATTGGGTGTAGTTATCTTACAGTCAGTTGACCTCTTCATTTTGACCTCTTCATTTTGACCCGTTATGGCTTTCTCTAGTTGTTTTAGTCTACTGAAAAAAAAAACACGCCTCATTGATGGGGGCGGGGGAGCTACAATTAGCTGTGGTAGAAGAATGTAAGTCTTTACAACGCAGTAGGAATTATACTGGTTCAGGAAAGCGGGAAGTAGTGGGTTCTCCTCCAGGTTCCATGTCCTCACCAGCCACAAGTACTTGGCTAAAGTTACAGAGCCAGGCATGAATTCCTTCCCGTCAGTGGGTGTTAAGTCTTAGTCTGTGGCTGTTGGTTACCCCTAGAAGACAGGGCCACTGTTGCATCTCTCATGACATCTTGCTGTGCTGGCCACTGTTGTGGTATGTTGGCGTCAGAGCTGGATAGGACTATGGGATGCATTTCTCCTTGGAAGCTTGCACAGCTTCTTCTGATACTAGGAGAGTTGGTCATCAGGGAGGAGGCTTCCAGGTCAGATCTATAACCATTCCTCCAAATCCTGTATATGAAGTGTGTTGTGTCTTCAGGCACCGGGTCTTACCTTCTTTTTCTGGAAGGTACCAAAGACAACAGCAATTGTTTTGGAAATTTTTTCGACTCCCATGACCAATAACTCAAAAGGGAATTTTGTTTTTAGTCTGGGGGGAGGAGGTGTTGTCACCCCAATTATCATAGCTTCAATTAAAGTATTTATATTTGTGTATGTGTGTGCATGTGTGCATGTATGTGTGGCGTGTGTGTGTTTGGTTTTTTGAGACAAGGTTTCTGTGTGTGGTTTTGGTGCCTGTCCTGGATCTCACTCTGTAGACCAGGCTGGCCTCAGATTCACAGAGATCTGCCTGGCTCTGCCTCCCAAGTGCTAGGATTAAAGGTGTGTACCACCACTGCCCAGCGTGTGTGTGTGTGTGTGTGTGTGTGTGTGTGTGTGTGTGTGTGTGTATGTGTGTGTGTGTGTGATTTTAAGCAACCATAAAATAATGTAATCCCCTGTGGATTTTTCAACACCTAAATGTGAGCTGCAGCCCTCTCCAGCTAACCCTAGTCTTGCCTGCTTATTCCACACTCGTGACCCTTGACTGCCCAAGGACTGTGCATAGACTTACTGAGACTTGGTGTGGTAAGCTCCCACTTGGCTCCTTCACAGCTCCCACTTGGAAGTTCCTGTCTCACAGAAACCTGCATGTGACCTCTCAGCGTAAAATAGCTCTCCACCAACCCGAGGGCACTCACTCTGTGTGCTCTCGCTGGTTCTTTTTGTATGCTTATGTTTCCTTTAGTCTTTGTGTCTACCACCCATGGTGGTCATCTAGACCGGAAATCCACACACATGGCCCTTTTCCTGACTTGCCTCTGCTGTGCCCAGCGCCTTGATGTCATATTGCCACAAAGTGCTTAATGTAAAAACACCAGAACTGTGTGGTGGTGAGGAAAAGCTAGTCCTATCTGGTGAATCCAGACGCTTGGGTAGCGAGGATCAAAACAAGGCTAAAATAGATGGTCCTGATGGAACGCTCTTGTGTAGCCTGTTAGAATGGCCCTTCCAAACGGGATCTGCTGCTCCTTACGCAGAGCTGGTTTGCATTGTCTCAAGTAGCTTTCGGGGCTCTGAGACATGTAAAGCACCCCAGTAGGACAACATCTGCTCCTTTTATCTCACTTAGATTGCCGGCTTACAGATGCCTTCTGCACTACCAGGGACACATTCTTAAGCAGGGAGGCCACTGCTGCTGACAGAAATGGGCAGGGCAGCAGAGCCCACCTGCTCAGCTAAGCCTCCACCTCCGTTCCCCATGTCCCTGTTACCAAGCAGAGTCTCAGAAATGAGTGTCCATTTGGAGACAGACATGTCGGCACTTTTCATTAACTTTGGAGTTAATGAAAGCCCCTCCCCTCTTTTTTTTTTTTTTAGAAACTTTTTATTTTGCTTTATTCTTGGGGATTTCAAATATGTACATATACAATGAAATATGATCATATCTATACCATCCATTTTTCACTTTTAACTCCCCCCATACTAACTTCATATCTGTTTTTTAGATGGCTTTTGTTTTGTTTTGCATGTGTGTGTACCTTTCTAAGTTCATCTAGTTTGTGCTGCATATAAATGTGGGGGTGTGGGACCACCCACTGTGGCATGAGAAACCTACCAGTGGCCATTGCATCACAAGCTACCCATCATCTCCTCAACTGATACCCACTACTCAGAGCTCCTCAGTAAGGGGTGGGGCCTGGCAATCACCGGCCCCATCTCTGCCAGGGTTTGGGCTGGCACCTAAATATTCCCACCCCTAGTCCTGGGCTGCTCTCAATCTTGGTCAGGGGAGCTTCTTGTCACAGTGAGCAGCAGTCGATGGAAGAGATGCATAACTGGTCGGAGCGCTGGGAGTGAGAGATGGAGTTCTAGGCCTAAGTGGGTCAACTGCATGGCCAGGCTCGGGAATACTGTAGAAGGGGCATGCTGTGGGGGGGGGGGGGATCTCCTGATCACATGGCATAAGTACTTGATTGTCTGCGTTGTCGGGGGGGGGGGGAAGAGCCAGAGGATGGGGAGGAGTACTGTGAAATGCATCTTGTAGACATGGCGTGGCTATCGTGTGCATGAATTCACAACAGCGTTGGTTACCTACACACCACCTGCCTAGCTATCCATTCCGAGGAGCAGCCCAGTTCCTTTCAGGAAGCAATAGAGACTTCATTTATAAAGCTGCCCCCAATTGAATCTGATTTTTAAGATAAGAAAACTGAGCCTACAGAACATAGACACTGCATTTTCTCAAGTAGTCACTTAAAGATGTTAAAATCACCATAGTCACCTATGATGGTCCCTATTATGTCAAAAAACTATAGATCAGAGAAAGGTAGGTCTGCATAGACTCTGAATAAAAGGCGGGCTCTCTGTGTCTCAGAACAGGCAGTCTCAGAATACTGATATTTCAGACTGATGGAGATGTAACGTTCCTGCCATCCTCATGCAAACCTCATCTGAACAAACCTCCAAAGACAGTCATCAAGAGTACTCGTCTAGACTCTTCAATTCTCTATCCTTAGCCTAAGGATAAGCTGGGAGCTTGCCTTTGAAATCTGGCTGCCACTCATCCGTGAGCGTCCCACATATCACAGAGGACAAACTCCGTCCCTAATCAGTTCAAGGCCCCTGCAAATGTAGGATGACCTCCTGCTCGGCCAGTGCTTGCCCTGAGTGCATTTTAGGCAGGTGACCCTTGACTCACGAGTATTGGTTCTCACGGTACAGAGTGTGGGAGATGTAATACACCTTAAACCTGATTAAAAACTTTAAAGTGTCCATCTGAGCTCGACCTTTTCACCAAAGCAGTACATGGTCTGCAGAACTGACGCCCTCGCTATTTTGCTTTTGGACCCGGGAGCAGCCGGGGTGGCAAGGTCGTGCTTTTCAGTTCGGTCCTGACACTAATATCCAGCCATTAGCCGGTACAACCCTGATGGTTGGTCCTGTGATGGAAAGGTTTCCTGCCAGAGCGCCTGTTCCCAGACCTTTGCCAATGACCTTGTACGTTACAGCTGAGAAAGGAGAGTCCCAGACTCCCTTCCGCCAGCAGCCACGGCCTGTGGAAGCCGCACGGCAGGAGGCGCACGGAGAACGTGTTGGGATGTGGAGTACACACTTTTCATAACCAGCCACTGTAATTATCAAGGACACTCGAGGCAGCGTGATCTGACACAGCTGTCTGGGCCGTTTTCAGACCCACAAAGTCCATGGAGAGAAAAGAGACCGTTTAACCCTCCTCCCCAAACTGCAATTTCAGATTGGTAAATCAACTTGGTAGTTGAACTGCTTCCAGGGGCCTCTGTTCCGAAACACCTCTGTTCATCTGTGCCTCGTCCCAGAGTCCAGCCACGCTAACCACTGTCGTTCCCATCCCGTGAGACAGTGTAGTCTCTCTGCCCGGTCACCGTCCTGTCTGCAGAATGTGCCGTTACTGGACGCTGGTTGAGAGGTGTTGGAAACAGCCAGACCGTGACTCAGTTTCACGGAAGTCCGGGAGGTTAGATGGCATTTGTTAACCGAGCCTTCCCACTCTCCTCCAAATAACTTCTGATGTTTGTCTTTTTCAATTCAGGCATCATATCAACGTTTCTTCATGTCCACCCTTTCGGAGCCAATATAGAGTATCTGTGGTCATACATGCAGCAGCTGGACTCGAAGGTAAGTTCTTTCTTTGACTGAACTTTCATTGTTGGAACTTGGCACGTTGCTTGCTGCAGGTTGATGCTGTGTGATCTGCATTACTACAGAGCCACATTCCAGGACCTCCCGAAGACCCAGGGTTTGGGCAGACCGTTGTCATCTCCTTGTTTTTGCCTTTATATAAAGAAAAGTCAGTTATTTAAAGTGACAGTGACTTGTCACTGTCAACAGATGCTAAAGTGCTTTGAAAAGCTTGTGAGAGATTTGAAATCACAGATTGGCCTGAAAGTTTCTGAGACAAGGGGGAAGGCATTGTGAGAGTGACTGATGAGGCCGGTTCCTTAGGCCATGTTCACACGAGATTCCGTGTGAGAGACTTCACGTGGAGGGGCCATCACTGTCGCTAGCTTAAAGATCTGATATGATGCTCAAGAAAATGCTATCAATAGCTGTTTTAACATTATTCTAAGTGTTAAAAAATAAAAAATGGCTGGTGAGTTATTCTCAGCTGAGCCCCTTACGGCTCACACTCGGAATCAGACATCATCATGCCATTTTTCTAAAGTTCAGCTTTCTCGTCTGAAAATTAGCAGTGTTTTTTGGCAAATGCAAAGAGACAGAAAAAAAAGGTGCAATGTCTGTGTTAAGGTGAACAGTTGAGAGGGCCTGCTGTTGCTAAAGCCACTTCCTTGCCCAGGGCTGGCTGTGAGAGCCACAGGAGCGCTGCTGACAGCAGCTAAGGAGGGAGCCAGAGAAGACTGGCCTTGTCTGAGCAGCTGCTCAGCCTGCAGCTCTGTGTGCCTGCAGCCCCTGCAGCTCTGTGTGCCTGCAGCACCTGCAGCTCTGTGTGCCTGCAGCACCTGCAGCTCTGTGTGCCTGCAGCGACATCTAGGGCATCCCCGGTACTCAGTGGTTAGCACAGATTGCAGGATCACATTATCACACTGCATCCTCGTTTGATGCTGAAGATTTCACCTACACATGATCATAGAGCTGCTGGAGCTCCAGGTAGACCTGGTATTTCCCCTCTGAGAGGAAGCATCTGGAACTGCACGTGGATTTTTGTCAGACATTTTGTGCCTCTCTATGAAGGATGAAAGGAGTTAGATTTTAGACTTTAAAATTTGTTCTGTTTGTACACATTAGTTGTACATATTAGGGGAGCTTAGCGTGGTGTTTTCCTAAATTCCTGCAGTGTGGATTGGTTAGCCACCTCCTGTCACCCCTTCCCAAGAGCTAGTAATCGCTATTCTACCTACATCAAGGGTTTGTTTCCAAATGAGTGAGGTGTAGCACCTGCCTTTCTGTGCTGGCTTATTTCACTTAACATAATGTCAAGATTTCACTCTTTATAGATGAATAATTCTATTCCACATACCTATTCATCTGT